TATGTGTGGACAACCGCACCGTGCGCCTGCACGTCGTGACCAAAGTCACCGTTCAGTAGCCCACCATTCATCCTGGGCTGGACGCAACGCAAAAACGGGGCAGTTCGTTGTTTCGCGGTTTAAGGACGCATCAACTGCAATGAGCATTTGCACTGCAAAATAGAACAAATGGACAGACAGACGCACTCTAAGCAAACAGCATACAGATGCAGTGACAGGACTTGGCTGATCGCTACATTAGAGGGTATGTGCCCGGGGACAATACCTACGTACCCCATCTTATCGTTCCCAGTATGTGTTTGTTTTTTTTTGCTGGAAATGCCCTTTGCTTCTTAACACGAGCTCGGGCGGGGGGTCAAGATGACCTCCCTCTCCGAAGGTTTTTTCCGGAATGGTTTCCGAACGGCGCGGCGCAGCCGCGCCAAATTTTGCACAGATGGAGACAAATGCATAGATCGTCTGGCATAAAAATATGGAGTACCTTGTAAGGTCGCCGACCTATGGCAGGTCAAAGTTGGGGCATGGTTGCAGCGAAGGTAATTTCTCGGGAGTTGTTCAATCCGATCCAACAAGGGAGTATTAGCCATACATCTCTGATATACGTTTTGGGCAACACAACAATTTAATAAACAAAAGACATCGACCTTAGGTCAGGTATGAAGTTCACATTAAGGCACAGGTGTCGATTTATATTCTTTCGTGGGGGCCGTGACCCCTCTCAATGTTGGCTTACCCGCCCCCCTCCAATGTTTTTGGCCGGCATGCTACAAAAAACGTGGTTAAAAGATAATCATAACACACACTATTTCTCTGATCTTTCTGCGAAGCGGTGTTTCGCACCACTCTCATAACAAAAAGTCATCGTTGCTCCCACTACGAGATACAGATCGTAACAGCTGAGCGGAAAAAAGATGCGGTTAACTTCACATACCTAACGCTATAAGACACGCAATGGCTTGTGAGGTTAGAGTGAAAAGCTCTGGAATATGGGGATGACCTAAGTCCTTCATGGCTAACCCCGGCCCCGTCCTCCACAACCAAAATTATTGCCGCCTCCCATGATCGCCATAAAAGAGGACCATCGGCGCCCTAAGGTGGCCTCCAAAGGGGCACCTTCACGTGCCGATCGGAAGCAACGCTTGCGTCCAGTGCCTGCTCCCTGGATCCAACCCTGCATGACCTCTTAACTTCTTAAATTAAAGACATAAATTATGCAAAGATCACAAACATACATTAAGTCAAAATAAAGTGGGCTAAATCCGGTGAGAAAAAATGGGGTTGGGGTAGATTGTCGGGCTTTTGGTTTGCCCCCCCCCAAATAATTAACAAAAATTGACACCCCTAGATTAAAGTCAAAACTAGCCTGTTTTATAAACCTAGGGCTTGCTGTGTGGGGTTGTTTCCGGCGCTCATTTCGACTTTGATTCTTTCGACATTTCAACACCAAGACCTTCAAAAGATAAAAAAGTCACTGACCTAAGATGAGCATGTGACCTTTTGCTAAAACAGTTATCTAGGTTCTAGGGACGCTTTGGGAACCAGCATGGTATTTGACTTTGTTTGACCTTATTTGACCTAATAGTCATGACCTAGGAAGCTTAAACTTTGACTTAAGTGAGTTCAGGCACAGTTCAAGACGCCCTGTGAATTAGGTGTCTAGCTTTTTTTGTTCCTGAGATCTCAGGGGGTCAAACTGACCCCCGCCCGAGCGAAGGGTATCAAACCAGCCACCCGGGCGCGCGTTTAACTTTATGGAACTGCGGAATGTTGGAGCTCATTTACTGGTCAGATGCCATTGTCCTGTCTTGAAAGGTCTACCAGCTGTTGCAGGCTGGCATAGCATATGACCGAGCTGACCTGGCAAGGAAAGATAAGCTCTTTTTCACGCTAGCGTTATTAGACAGGGGCCTTATTAAGGACCACATCTGATATGCACGAAAACGTGATGAAGGGGCGAAACCTATCGTTTATCGTCAGATCAATCGAAACAGAGCGCACATATTACTCTGAAAACGATGCGAAAGTTGTATTCGATGCTACAAATATTTCTCTGAAAACGATGCGGAAGTTGTATTCGATGCTCCAAACAGTGAGCACCACCGTTCCAACGCTACATTACTGGATCCCATCCACACACGGTCTGCGGGCAAGACCAGGTCATGTGCCACCCCTCACACGGCCGGGGCTGTCGCTGAGGTGACAGTGTCCGGTGATAAAGCTCCGGGCGGCCGGGGGCGTTATCGGTCAGGTATCGCCCGTCGGGAGCTGTCCCTGCGATGGCATTACATCCAGCTGAGCGCCGGTGTTTTGCAGCTGTGGCGGAAGTTAAGGGACAGGGGCGGTTGTGCGTCTCATGGTGTATGCCATGAATTATGCCGTGCTGTTTCAATTTCGAATGTGTCCGCTTAGCTTCATCATTCACGTATGGACAACACGACGCAAGCTTAATTTCCGGCGCGGTAATTTCTAGTTACATATGGCTAGGCAAACTTGCAGGTCCAATAATCAGACGTCTCCGGCATCGAGAACGATATCAGCTCCCGGGCAAGCTGTACGCGAAACAGCATTGTCCGGCGTTGCGGCGAGCAACAGGCGGTCAATCCACAGCCGCATGCTGACGGGCGTGCCCTTCAAATGCATTACAAGCGATATGATAACGTACTTCAGTTGATATTTTGCAACATTGCTCTTGACACGCGTGATCGAATATAATGGCATTGTATTTCCGGTATGAGAACGTGGTCGGTCTATTCCCCACATTTGGGTCTATCTACGTGATTCGGGAGAGATGACATGTACGTAAGACCGATGAAAATGCCTTGTTCAGTTACACATAGTTCCAGAGTACCGGTTGGTCTCAAGGTCACGGTCACAGTTCCCGACGCAGTGAGCCGATCGCACCCGACCCCGAACTGTTGGCTCATGGTATGCCACCGTGTACAATCAGCCAGTGTTCAGATCTGACTCGCGAACGATCTAGAAGAGATGTTATCGATTTTTTTAGCCTGAAAAGCAATAAGATGGTCTTCAATTGCATGCCAGTTTAAAGAAACTCAAGGCACCGAGTTTTTTTCAGAAAATGAGGTCAACGGCCAGCCTCAGTCACTAGATACTTGGATGGCGTTGAATTTTATGCCGACCCATAATTCAGAAGTATACTGGTATATGTGTTTTCGAAATACATTTCCAAAACAGGCTCCGCAAACTGCTTTCGCAAGAGGAAGCTAAAAACCAGGGTTCGTGACGTCATCGCCTATTCTCGTACTTGTTTCTTTTCGGTATCTCTTCCAGCTCTAAAACTTCAGAATCGGACTTAAGAGCCGTCACCGTCAAATTTGAAGCGGATGCCGTGTTAAAATGCATCTAACCGCGGCCGATTTGTTGTGGAATGACCTTAGTACATACAATGTATTTACTCAGCTAAGGCCGGGTGGTCCAGCCATTCGGGAGAGTTGGGGACGTGCGACCCCAGTTTATATGCATATATATATATATATATATATATATATATATATATATATATATATATATATATATATATAGGTGTAGGCCCCGCCTTAAGGCGGCCGTCATGGCCGGGGTAAAGTCCCGACCACTTGGCACCTCAGCCGGCCACCTGGCACGCGTTCTCAGCCGGCCGCCTGGCACGCCAGCCGGCTCTTAGCCGGCCACCTGGCACGCCGGCCGGTTCTTAGCCGACCACCTGACTCGCTGGCCGGTTCTCAGCAGCTTCATCGAGGGGGAGAAGAAAGACTCACACGTCTGGCCTCGACATGCGACTGTCGAGGGGACAGGGGACCGATAGGAAGGTGGCTGGCTTGGTCCCCCCTCGCGCTGATATAATGTCCCCTTTGCGGTAATTCGTCCCCTTCGCGGTAAATATGCGACACCTTTGCCCGGTGTTGGGCGGGTCTTGCTGGACCGGAATTGGATAGAACGCGTCACGTGACGGGTTGTTCCTCGTGGTCCAGAACGGGGTTCCCTCGGGCTCAACAATCGCGGTCTTGATACCGCTTAACTCCGTAGTTCAGTTTTGTGAAAGCTTTTTGGCTTTTAGCTTGGTTTAAGCGGGGCTCTCCCCCGGCGCGTCACTGAAGCAGCTCCAGTCTCTCGACGTTCATTCCCGGATTTGATCGTGCTGGTTATAAACGCGCGTCATCCTGCTGCCCTTCGGCGACGCGTCTCATTACGCCGGGGAATGTGCAGGTAATCACGCCCCTGGCCGGCGTCCAACAAGCCGCAATGCCGGGTCTCACGGGGCCGCTGACCGGCGCTGACCGGGTGACATCACCGCTCCTTGCTTGTTTTCTTTCCATCAGTCGATCCGGCCAGATCGCTGCTTGCTCGTTAGCAAGCAGAACTAGCGACCTCGCATCGGATCGCTGCTTGTTTGGCGAAGGCGATTGGACAGGCGGTCACCAGTAATTACATTTATTGCACACAGGTTTACGACTACATGGCGGTTCATTGCACGCCACCAGAGCTAATTTGTTTCTGCAGGGCACGAGCCATGCACTGTTAGCCTGATCCTACCCAATCGTGCCATCCACGCAATCTGGGCCTGCTTCTATAGAACCTGAGCCTAGTTATTGCACATTGAACTCCAAAAAAGACCACTTATCAATGGACGATCACTTCACGGTTCCAAAACGACTTGTAGATGTCAAAACACCCCACGATCTGAATCTGGCTGGATACGATCACCGCGAAAATATTCAGGGTACGGAAACGTCAGTAACCGAAGAGATACCGCAAACTGGAAGCATGGGAGAGCCGCGGACATCAAGTGCGCGGCACTAAGGCAGCCCGCAAATGCCCGCGAAGTCGACAGAAAGGAAGCAAATGAGTGGACCAGGTACATTATTGTAAAGCATCCTGTCCCCACAAAACTCGTGAGATCGAAATAAATATTTGACAGTAGCACAAGCAAATGAGGATCGAAAGCTTATAAACAAACGCTGGCATCTGAAGTTCAACCCTTGGCGTCAAAGCGTTCTTCAGGGCATTGAGCATGCCCTGAAGCATGGTTGCCCCAGGGTGATCACGATTGGCATGGTCTGTCCGCCAGAGAGGCAACATCAGCTGCGCCGTGGCGGGACCGTGGGGTGGGCCTCACGTGACCGGGGATCCGGCCACCTGAGACGAAAAGGAGGTCCTGACGCTCGCCTACGCTGGTCCACATCCGCACACCAACACCGCGGTACACAGCTCCAGCCTCACAACCAGACCGGCGACCGCTGCCGGCGGCGAGTGATACGTGTCTACTTCTCCTGGAAAATGAGCATCACCGTTCCCTAACGCTTAATACTGGTCAACTGCCGGGTGACGTCACACCAGCCCGGTGGTGACGTCATCTCGCCGTCATCGAGCCCCGCTCTCTGGCCAGCACGAGCAGCAGCACCGAGCAGAAGACGAACCAGACGGGCGGCAGGGACGTCAGCAGGCGGTGGCGCCGATCTGAAGCAGGGCAGGAGGTCAGCGGGCACCGTCTGCGGGCCAGAGGTTGATCCGCGTGGGCCCAACAGGCGGAAATGGAAAATCACAATGTGCAAAACGTCTTTCTGTGAGAGCGAGCTGCAGCCACGCGATATCTGGCGGATAACTCTGATGTTTTAACCCTCGCTAGGGCGCCGAAGGTGTGGACGTACCACCGCCTCCTGTTTTTCGTGGCTATCTCTCGCAACGTCCGGTGCGTCGTAGTATTTTCCTTTTTTGAGAATTGTGCGTGTGCATTGTATTTTACTCTTGTTGGCAACTTTCTAGACCCTACCATGTTGGGCCACCCACCAATGACGTCGTATCACAGCTGTGCAAGGACAAATTAAACGCAACCAAATGGTGCGTTCTGACGCATTCTGAACCGTTTTTACTAGACTTCTTCCCTAGTGGCCCTGGATATGTGGATGTCTTGCATAATGCACACCATCCATGTTCATGAACTTACGGACGTTCACTTGCAGCCCAAGGTCACGTCAAATGAAATATTGAAAATTTACATGAGATCTGCTTTTTATACGTTTCAAGAGCCAAGGTGACGAATGCGTGCCGTGTCCAACGTAAAGGTCATTGAAGGTCGATGCCGCGTCCGGTCTGACCTTCAAAACCGCTTACGTGCGGTACATGGAGCCTGATCGCAGAGCAATAACACCGTTTGCCGTGAGGACAGACCGCGCACGGTCATTCTAGGTCAACGTCGCATGAGGTCATGTAATGACATCCGACGACCTCACATGCCCCTTGGAAGCGAATGATGGCATGCTTCGCACCACGTCAGGCGTATCCTGCGAATGCGTCCAAGGTTACGCAGGCGGCAATCGGGTAGTTTGAAATTCCAACCTACCCTAACCTGATCGGCCAGTTGTAAGACGGTTCAAATTTGGGGCTCACGCACCGCACTACCACTTTGTTTTTTTCTCTCCAGCACACCACGTGCGGAATCAGAAGCGGGCGTGCTTCGCGCGTCACAGAAAGTGGCGACGCTGACCTAGCTGGCGAAGGCTGGAGAACCTGGCATTGTTAATAACTCTGCGTGCAGTGGCGCAAAAATAATCAAACGATAGCATGATGCATCGGCTAACGTATGCGAAAAACAGCCACCAAATATATGCCAAACAATGTAACATCCTGCTGAAAGGAAACTTACAAACGTCGACGTAAAGCATGAACACATCTTAAGACCCTCAGATGATTTCTTAGCTTCCTGTAAGGGTTAATACGCTTCAGGTGGGTGTAAAATGTGAATGTCAGTTTTGCGTGCCCGTTAGAGAAGTCGCCAAACCGAGAGGTACATGCACTGGAGGCGATGGGAAACACGCTAACATCATCGGTAACACATGTTGATCTAAACCAAAAATAAGCCGAACCCCACCCCCGTAATGCTACGGGATTACGCAAGGGCCGAAATCCCGGGCTTCCTCCTTCGCAGAGAGCGTATACAGCTGTCACGCTTGAAAAGTGACGACTGGAGAAGGGCCCACTACTTTCGCTGCCCCTCCCCCCCGGGGGGATTACATGTAGCAGTCACAGTTTGGGGCTTGGGGGCGTTGCTGTGTTTCCCTGAACCTTAGAATCAAAGATCCTCATATCTATGCCGGAGCTGGCATTGGCCATTTCAGAAAGATCAGTGCAGTAAATATTTGGACCAAAGGCAAAACTACCGTGTGAGTGCAACATCTGGGAGCTCTGGCGTGACAGCGACCGAAACGAATATGATTTCGGCAGAACTGGGTCACCCTAAGATGCCCCCTAATTAAGGAGCATGTCCTTGTCCAATGACCTCGAATGCAAACTGAGGGAAGTCACGTATCCAGCGCACACATTAAGCAGTGAGCCTTACCAAAAACCGAAGTACATCATGAACTACTGGTTCTTCCTCAACCCCTTCCATGAATGCCGCCTCAAAGGTAGGCCACTTTGCTGCCAAACTCAACATCGTCACCTAGAACGTATTTGCCACAAACGCAAGGGGTAAGATGTGAGGAGTGTGATCATCTTGGCAAGCCGGAAAATCACACGCAGTACTTTTTGAGAGCACCAGCTTACACTAATGGATTTTCTTGTATACAGAAGGTTTAGAAGGGAACCAAAAGGCAAAAAAGCGGGACAACGCATTTTGAAGCGTCCGCAAAAACAGACTGTTTGAGCACCAAAGGAACCAAAACAACTAAGGGAAATCTTTGAGCAGTGTATATTTCCCAAAAACCCCAAGTAAAGTACATGCGCCATCTCGATACGAAACGGATACCAGACATCAACGCTCCCAGCTCCAAAGATGCCACTCTAGAGTCCATGATCAACTGTCAACCCCGATGCGCGATTCGTAAGTCCATGATTGCAACATGCCTTTCCGAAAAAAGTTTTAAAAAAATAATACGAATAAGCACCAACTGCACGATTGAAATGACTGCGCCATAAACACTCGATAGACTACGAAAGTATCTCAAAGGACCGTCACCCAGTAGAAAGTACGTATCATGATTGGCCTTGGTGGAGACTTCGTCTGGAAGGTATGTCACCGCGCCGCAGTCGTCATCCGAAGTTTGTACCGGCCGATGCTGTGTAAATAAACGGCCCGACGTAGCCGTCCGCCGCCACCGCTGTCTGACACGACACTACGGCACGCGTGCACACCACCGCAGCCAAGTCCGCGAGCAAGCCCTCCACCGCGTGCAGCTGACATAGGCGCCGCAGGAGGCGGGACGTGGGCCGGCCCCAGTGGCGCACCCGAGCCGCGACGGCGCGTCCGGCGGCGGCGGCGGCGGCGCTCGGCGGCCGGCCCAGCTACGGCGTACCTGGCAGCGGTGAGCGCTCCGTGACGGGCTCCCAGTCCCGAGAGCGGGACACCGCCTGCTTCCAGCGGTCGAAGCGCACGTCCCGCTCTGCCGGCGACGAGACGACGGGTCAGGGAGGTCAGAGGCGGCAACGGCGGGCGGGGTCAGGGGAGGTCAGAGGCGGCGCCGGCGGGCGGGGCGACGGGTCAGGCGCAGGTCGAGGCGGTGCCGGCGGGCGGGAACGGACGGGTCAGACGAGGTCAGAGGCGGCGCCGGCAGGCGGGGCGAGACGGGTCAGACGAGGTCAGAGACGGTGCCGGCGGGCGCGTCAGGAGAGGTCAGAGGCGGCCCCGGCGGGTGGGGCGACGGGTCAGGAGAGGTCAGAGGCGGCGCAGGCGGGCGGGGTGCCGATCAGGAGAGGTCAGAGACGGTGCCGGCGGGCGGGGTCAGGAAAGGTCAGAGGCGGCGCCGGCGGGTGGGGCGACGGGTCAGGAGGGGTCAGAGGCGGCGCAGGCGGGCGGGGGTGCCGGTCAGGAGAGGTCAGAGGCGGCGCCGGCGGGCGGGGCGACGGGTCAGGGGAAGTCCGGGGCGGCACCGGCGGGCGAGGCGACGGATCAGGCGAGATCAGAAGCGGCGCCGGCGGTTGGCGACCAAGTCAGGCAAGGTCCGAGACGGCGCCGGCGGCTGGTTCAGGCAAGGCGCGAAAGTGGGGTCTGGTCAGATGTGAGAAAAGGGCTAGGTTACACGGGAAACCTGGCTCAGGTCAGACAGGAGGCCTGGACAAGGTCAGGCAGGAGACCAGGGTCAGGTTAGACAGAAAAGCAGAACCTGGGTGTAGTGGGATCAGAGAATCAGGTAAGACAGCACAGGCATCATTAGGGCTGCCTGATGGCTGAACCAGAGGTGGCCAGGCAAAGCCCGTCCCAAGCACACATAATGAACATTTCACTGATAACAAATGCGCTACCGGAACCCCTGAGCATTCACTACGACGTTATCAGTTTTCTGTGTTCACCAGACACGCAGCTTCACCACTGGGCGACCGAAACCCCGAGCATTGGCTGCGATGTTCGGCTGCGTGTCTGGGAAACCAGATGAAGGGGCTTCGTTCCCCGCGATCCCGGCCCTTCCTGCCAGGGTGAGCGGAGGACGAAGGCAAACAGCCTCCGAAGGGGAGTGCGTAGTAAGCCCCTATGACAACACAGCCAATGTTCACCGACATACGGCTGCTGCCTGGGCGGTAAAACTAACATAAACAATCCCATAAACAAATAGCGCGCAGGGACGCGTACGTAGCGAGGTCGCGCGCCGCAGACGCCCGCTAACAATCAGACCGACAGTGCAGGCTGCTGAGTGGGGACTGGGCTGCCCACCACAGCTGCCTGCAGACTGCCGCAGCCTACAACATCTGAGATAACCACGATGATCCATGTGCCAGTGCTCCGTCATAATGACAGTCCACGCCTATCAATGGGGACAAGGCGGCCCAGTAGAGCTGGTCTGCTACAGCTTCACTGAGCTCTCTGACTCCTCCCTGTTATGACTCCTGTCCCTTTTAGAACAGCCTTGGGGTGTCAGCAACGCAACATTCAATACTTCACCTACAAACCGCCGGGCACCGGGTCCCAGAACGAAAGCGAAAGCGGCGGCGAACAAAAACGAGACCAATTCAGCTGCCACCTAGCGGACGGCAATCGCACTGACAGTTGGTGCGGCTGCCGCAGCGCTCGCCTCCGGTTCCGTGGCCGTACCGTCATCTCCGATCTGCGGGCTGAACTGGTCGGTGGTGCCGTGGCTGAGGTCCTCCGGCGAGAGGCTCCAGACGCCGACGCCGCTCGCCGCGCCCGCCGCCATCGCCGCCCCCCAGCGCCGTCGTCTCGGGCATGGTCGGCCGCACTGCGGGCGGCGGAATCACGCGCCGGGTCAGCGGGGTCGACTCCGGGTCAGCGAGGGCACACTGCGGGCGGCGGAGCCACGCACCGGGTCAGCGGGGTCGACTCCGGGTCAGCGAGGGCACGCTGCGGATCAACGAGGGTCACGAGCTGCAGTCGTCGGGATCGCACTTTGCTCAGCGGGGGTCACACGGCGGGCCAGCAGGGTTAACACCACAAGCTAAACCCTGCGCTCAGCGTCGTACAGTCCGCCGCACACGAAAGACCAACGCAGATGCCACGGACAGCGCAGCACACCTTAGACAGACTCATACTGCAGGTGCGGCATCAAGCGCACATCAGGCACAGCCTGACACACCACTGCCACGAATGAGAACCACGAGCACCGACATGCCACACACGGACACACGAGATGTAGCCCCAAACCCAGACGTACGCCGAACGCACGGTCAGGCGCACCGCAGCTTCTTAAAGACACACAGCCGAGCCAACACGCGGTCGCTTGTCGATGTACACGCGGTGTCAAGTCCGGGTCAGGGAGGTCACGCCGCAGGTCAGTGAGATCACGCCGCGGGCCAGCGGGATCGCGAACTGCAGTCATCAGGATTAATTGTACGCTGCACGTGCAGCGTACGCCAGATGAAACGGGACGCACACAAATGAATGCTTGCATACAAGATCTTCTGGGAACTGACATTTTGCGCGATCGCCGGGCAGTGTCCCCAATGAGGACTCCGCGCTTCCAGACAGCTTCCAGACAGACAGGTTGTGTAAACACTCGCCACGCGTCCGCCCCGTGCCAAAACCAACCGAAATCCGTTTACACTTCGGCTTAGCCACTCCACGGACAGCAGATAAAAGGGGACAAGTGTCGCCGGCGATCAACACCAGGCACCACGAGATCAACGCGTTCTGTGCCCGGCGCACAGTGACGTCACCGGTGACGTCAGCCAGCGTCCATGTTGACGTCACAGCACGCACCGACGGGGATGCCGAGCAGGTCGGCCTGCAGCTGCACCAGCAGCGTGTTGACGGTGCCGCCGCCGTCCACCTGCAGCGCCGTCAGCGGGATCCCAGAGTCCTGGTTCATCGCGTCCAGGATCTCCCGCGTCTGGGGGCACCGCACCCGGGCATCAACCATCATCAACGGCGGATCGCCGAGCACCGACTCGATACGTTCAAAATCTTCATCATCATCATCAACGCCCAGGAAAAGCAGGAGCGGTATCCTGAGCGATACTAACACTGAGCGGATCCCAGAGTCCTGGTTCGTCGGCTCGGACTGCGGTGCCCGCGTCTGCAGAGCCGGTGTCAGCGCCGATGTGCGTCTGTGGCGACGAGCCAGCGCGCCGCCTACCGCGCATTTCACCGCACCCAGGCACTCCATACTCAATGGGAGACTTCGGAACCCAGTACAACTGGGCTGCCATGCCGTTTCGATTCAGTCTTGCATGGAGCGCACGTGACCGACGTGCTACGAGCACAACACCCCGTGCCGAGTCCCGGTCACGCCCACCACGTACCTGAAAGCAGATGGCCTCCAGCGTGGCTCGGCAGATATGCTGTTTTGTGGTGTACTGGGTCAGGCCGCATATCGTGCTAAGGCGCAGGGGAGAGGGAACATGAGTTACACAGCGGGAGCGGAAGCCATGAATAGCTGAGCCATGTTGTGCCGGCATTCACTAAATTCACAGCACGAGAGCAGGCATTCCTGACAATCTGAGAGGCAGGATAATGACGCTTCTCATGTGTGCGCTTCAGACGATAGACAATGCCCGCTTCACAGTTTCAAGACAGTGGCGGGCTCAGCCACATACCTTTGCTCTCATTCAACATTCTGGCACGCCCGTACACAACCCATTCACTTCTTTTCCCCACGGCAGTTACACTTTTCCCTGCCGTCCCTCACCACACCCTCCGTTCTCGGACCCGCCCCCTCCCCCCCCCCCCATCGCCTTGCCGTCTCCCACTACACCTTCCGTCCTCGGATCCCCGGTCACCCTGCCGTCCCTCACTACGCCTCCCGTCGTCGGACCCGCTCCCACCCCTCCCCCCCGTCACCCTGCCGTCCCTCGCTACACCTCCCGTCCTCGGATCCCCCTGTCACTCTGCCGTGCCTCACTACACCTCCCATCCTCGGATCGGATACTCCAGTCACCCAGCCGTGCCTCACCACACACCTCCGTCCTCGGATTCCCCCGTCACCCAGCCGTCCCTCACCACACCCTCCGTCCTCGGATTCCCGTCACCCAGCCGTCCCTCACCACAACCCTCCGTTCTCGGATTCCCCCCGTCATCCCAGCCGTCCCTCACCACACCCTCCTTCCTCGGATTCCCCGTCACCCTGCCGTCCCTCACCACACCCCTCCTTCCTCGGATTCCCCGTCACCCAGCCGTCCCTCACCACACCCTCCGTCCTCGGATTCCCCCGTCACCCAGCCGTCCCTCACCACAACCCTCCGTCCTCGGATTCCCGTCACCCAGCCGTCCCTCACCACACCCTCCGTTCTCGGATTCCCCCGTCACCCAGCCGTCCCTCACCACACCCTCCTTCCCCGGATTCCCCGTCACCCAGCCGTCCCTCACCACACCCTCCTTCCTCGGATTCCCCGTCACCCAGCCGTCCCTCACCACACCCTCCTTCCTCGGATTCCCCGTCACCCTGCCGTCCCTCACCACACCCTCCGTCCTCGGGTACCCCGCTCACCCTGCCGTCCCTCACTCACCCGCGCGCCGTGTCGTCCCAGTACGGCGCGTACAGGCCGGTGAACGCCGGCACGAAGTACACGCCGCCCGTGTCCTTCACCTGACGCGCGAGCACCTCCACCTCGGCGTTCTCCGAGATCAGGCCCAGGTTGTCCCGCAGCCACCTGGCGGCCGGGCAGGTCACCGGAGCCGGTCAGGCGGGGTCGCCGTCCGCCGCCCTCGCCGAGCACGCGGCGGACGCGGCGCTGTGGTGACGCCAAGCACACGACTGGCCGTGTAGTCACGCACGACTGAGCAAGCTACCGTCTCGGCCAACGGAGCAGCGTGCAGCGTGAGCACGTGACAATGGAGTACGGAGGAGGCTCCATCGTAAGTGAGACGAAAAAACTTGTCGGTGTACCCCCGAAGGTAAGTGATAAATATTATTTACCAATGTGAGCAAGTAGCAGGATATGCATTTCTCATATTCAGAGTATTCAGGACGGCTCGGTTGTGAACAGTCTGGACAAATGTCCCACAGGAATTACTCAGGTTTTGAGCTGGTGTGTGGGCGCATGACCCGTCGTCATGACGTCATCGTCAAGGCCGGTCATCGCAGTCACTGTTCCCGCGCTGTCGCCGGAGACCCCACAAATTAGACACAGGACAGAAGGCAGCAAGGTGCAGGGAAAAATTGCAATGCACCCTTCGTGTCACAGTGCAGGGAAACATTGCAAAGCCGGCCATCACCCGCATCAGTCCCTACGCCGCAACGAGCACGTATGGAATGTAACGCGCAGACCTCGCTAGCATGCGTCACTGCACGCTGCATGTCCTGTTGACGGCGCCCCCTCCCCCCCCCCCGTCTGTGCTGACCGCAGCGGCGTAGCACGTGCCATGGCCACCAGACGAACGCCCCACAGGTATCGAGTCACGCAAGCGACCAGCTGGCCAACTGCGCTCCGGACGGCCGGAGGCGACTCACGCCACGCGACCGCGCACAGTTACCAGGGTGGTGCTGTTCGGGCCGGCACCGGGCCACTCGCGTGCAGTGAACAGCACACAGCGCGCCGGGGGCGGACGGGGAGCGGACGGGGCACCGCGTGGCAGCGAGCTGGGGCGGCGACGGAGGGCGTGCCGGCTGCGGACAGGGGCCGGACAGGCAGCTGTGTCACAGAGAGCTGAAGCGGCGGCGGAGAGCGCTACAAGGGCGGGGGGGGGGGGGGCTTGGACCGCGACTGGGACACGGGCAACGTGAACGTGACTGATGCCGCGGACGCGACTGCGTCTGCGACTGCGACTGCGACCGCAATCGTGTTTGTGACAGCGACGACGACCACGCCCACACCCCCACTACAGCAGAAGCCTGACCCCAAGCACGGCTGCAGCTGAGCCCGTGACCGGCCGGCCCTGACTCCTGACGCGCACTGACCGTACGGCCGCGCCGGTGATGGCCACCGAGCCCTCCAGGGCGTACATGACGGGCGCATCCTTGCCCATCTGGTAGCCGACGGTGGTGAGCAGGCCGCGGGTGGACTGCACGATCTGGGGAGCACACCCCGCGCACGCCGCGTCCGTCAGCGTGCACCAGCCGGCGACGGCCGTCAGAGCGAGCACGCGCAGCGCAGAGGGCAACGGCCGCCAGTGCGGGCACGCGCACCAGACAGGGCGACGCCGTCAGAGCGAGCACGCGCACCGGACAGCGACGGCCGCCAGTGCGGGCACGCGCACCAGACAGGGCGACGGCCGTCAGAGCGAGCACGCGCACCGGACAGCGACGGCCGCCAGTGCGGGCACGCGCACCAGACAGGCGACGGCCGTCAGAGCGAGCACGCGCACCGGACAGCGACGGCCGCCAGTGCGGGCACGCGCACCAGACAGGGCGACGGCCGTCAGAGCGAGCACGCGCACCGGACAGCGACGGCCGCCAGTGCAGGCATGCGCGCCGGGCAGGGCGACGCCGCCAGAGCGGGCACGCGCACCGGACAAGGCGACGGCGGTCGGAGCGAGCACGCGCACCGGACAGCGACGGCCGCCAGTGCGGGCGCGCGCTCCAGAGGGCAACGGCGCACACTGCCACACGGGAGAGCCGAGCATGGCCGCATGTATGCGCCGCGGCCAAATGACGTGCCAATGGTGACGAACCGTGCAAAGTACTGTCTGCGCATGGTAGACGTGGTAGTTATCGTTTAGAACTACATGAGCGGCTGATAAAATTAGATCAATCCACCTCTCCAAATTGACGTGTGTCACGACCACGAGCAATCACTCCAGCATCTGTCAGGCCAATGGCGGGCAAGTGGGCACCGAAGTTGCCTTAATGTGGCGGCGAAGAGGTGATACGAAAGCAATTCGAATTTGCAACGGTACACAGTTTATGAACATCACACTGTTCGAGGTGTTGCGACTGTTTTCAGCTACAGGCGTTTTCCCGAATCGAGCGAAATTGGACAAGAACGACAGGTTAACCTTCCTGAATATGTATTGTTCTGTACGGCTTGTCCGAAACACGATGCAATTCTACGAACACCCGACAAACCAGAAACGGCATGTCCTCCTGCAGCCGTCTGCCGTGCCACGCGTTACGGCCGACCTTAGCAGACATACCTTGCAGCCGGTGTTGTAGAGCAGGAAGCAGCCGGTGCCGTACGTGTTCTTGGCCTGGCCCTGCTTAAGACACATCTGGCCCACTAGCGCCGCCTGCTGGTCACCCAGAATCTGCCGACGGCCGGCGCAGAAACTGAGGCGCGACACCGCACAACACAGCACAGCACAGCGCAGCACAGCACAGCACAGCACAGAACGGCCCTGCTGGTCACCCAGGATCTGCGCCCGGTGCACCCAACGACACCACAGCAGCAGACGCAGTAGGACGTGGCACACCAGAGCACACACACACCAAGGTCACGCCAGGTGCAGCCAGGTACGGCGCAACACAGCACACCGCACAGATGTCGCGGCGTGAGCGAGATCCACCCTGGGTGCAACAGCTTTGGTCAACGGTCAACCGATCACCAGAATATGTAGCCGACTGACTCGGCCGTGGCTGACTTGCGTGGCAACCAGACGACCATCGCCATTAGATTGCATACGTGGAAAGGTGCCTCGTTTTACGCGAATTCGCCTTTGCAATGATCTGTAACAGAACCCTCGGCATGTCTTTCTGTTACGGTATTAAATTTGTTGTTCTTGTCGATAAAACGAGGTCAATGTCGACGCCGTCCGTACCCCTGAGTTAAGCGACTGGCATTAGGATTGCTTCTTGGTGTACCCAATTTCAACATTAACATAAGCAGCACGCTAGTAGCGTAAGCCAAGACCGTGCAACAGCAAGTGCCGACACGGACAGCCCTATATCCGCCAGCCATACACCGGCCCGACCGGCTGCAGCATGCGCCGGCACGCAAACTGCTTCGATCTACACGAGTCTGGGTGTCTCGCCTGGAGCTCGATAGCAGATCAAAACTGACCGGACCCACCGTCAACCCGGTGCTGCATATCGACACATGGCACATGGGGTGTAAACTCCGCTTCACCGAGCAGAAGCAGAGCCCGCTTCAACGCACAGGTCCTGAACAAGAGCAGACATGCGGCCACATGCCACCAGAACGACACAAACGTGGACTCTTTTAGCACACAACCTAGCCCGAGCCACCAGACGCGCGTCTCCGCGTCTGTTTCATGCCGACGGCAAGAACCATCCATGACTCACCACGCGCCCCAAAGGAGACAGTGCTGTCTACACAAGGTTGCACAACAAGCCGGGGAACAGCGCCCGTATACCTAGGCTGGCGATATCTACACGAGGGTCCTCAGCAAGCGGGGAAATAACGCTTACGTACCTAGGATGGCGATATCTACATGAGGTTACACAACAAGCAGGAAAAAGCGCCTTTATGCCCAGACCGGCGATAGTTCTAATCGCATAGGACAAATCCGCTGGTCCTAATCTCTTCCACACTTCTTATCTACCCCTCTCCCCTCCCCCATCTCCTGGCCACCAGACGTGCAGTACCGGGGGAGAAGTGCAGCCTCTGACGTCATCAGCGACAGTCTGCGGTCACGTGGTACGTCCCGACAGCACGATACGTCAGCCGGCGCCGCCAGCTCGGGGACACCTGGTCCCAGGGCACGGCGGGGCGCCGGAAATTGGGACACGACCACGGCGAGCAGGAGAGGACACATCTCCCTGGGACGCAAGAACGCGGCATGCAGGCTTTGTCTTGTGCTTTCTTCTACACATTTCTAGAGCTTAGATGACTAGAACACGGTGGGTGTCTTTGGTTTTTAAGCAACACCCGCAGCCAGCAATACTACCGCCTACATTGCGCCAGGCCCGCCGAAGGGCCTTTCAGTCAAAGTGAGTCATTTGGCCAGTACTCACGCCGGAGACGGGAACGCCGCTCAGCGCACCGGACGTCAGATGGCCGTATATCTCCGAGCAGCTGCGGATCTCCGGCAGAATCGACTTCGGGATGTCAAAAAACCTGAGAACAAGTCGCATGACTAAGACGCGATAGATTGCAACACTCTGTGGACGTTGCGGATACATGTCGCGGGTTTTCTCCGTTGAAGTAAGGACAACGGCGCCTCAGTTGTTTTTTTCGTGACAGTACCTGTCGGCAACATTTTCAAAAAGGCTCGCTGATTACAACCCACGGAAGTCCAAGACAATGTCCGGGCAATGGATGTATCTACTGTAGCTCATGGATGCTTCTCCCCTATCCATGGCAATGACATCGAGAATAAGCCACCCAGTGGGAAACCACTCTTGCCATGTATCAAATATACAGCTTTCTGTGATAAAGAAGGGTCTTAAGCTTCTTATTGCTCTTTCCTATGCTACATTTCGATAATACGGGCACAAGGATAATGAAATATAAAAAAACTGAAAACGGCAAAACATAGTCAAACAGCAAGAGCAAAAGCCAAAAGGCAGACGAATCATAGGAACATCACCCTCATCCGTAAGACCAACAGCCGGCACCGAGCGAGCCGGAGAGTTGATTATTACGGAGACCAGATAGCTCATGGCGAATCAGCCCGTATAACTCGCACGTGGTTCGTTGCGCGCGTGTGGGGGGGGGGGGGACGAACATCAAACACACCGCCCGAAGCCTGGGCACTCCTCGGTGGCGAATGCACATTCCATGTCAAAATACGATGATGGCCTTTTCTGCTCGGTAGAATTCACCTTTAAAACGTAAAAACAAAGCAATTCAACAGTACACTTGACGTGACCAGGCGGTTTACTTTCTACAAAATCCATTGGCAACACCATAATTTTGCGACAGACAGGCTTCCACTCCGTGTCGTCATGCGCAGGATGACGTCACATTCATCCGATCACCGACCACCAGAGGCCATTGGTCGCTGGTGCCATCAATCTCAGTCACGTGACACTGCCAGCCACGTAATCGTCAGCGTATTAAACATTCATTTGGTTGCTTGCATTCGGGCCCAGGACCTCGGGTCCTTCAGGAATTCACGAAATGGCCGATACGCCCGCCCATCACTCATGTATTTACTTTCCCGGATATGATGGGGGGGGGGGGGGATGGTGAACTTTGGGCCTGTCGACCCAAAACTAACCATCGCTACCAGAAAGAAAACACAAATCTTCCATCGAGCAAATACGAAAATGCTGACTTGAAGCAATCCTACCCCTGTCGTGAACAAAGCTGCATCATCAGGAGTACAGATCCCCTAACACAGAATATTCATACTTCCTCTTGCCTTTCAGCTTAGTTTGCTGTATTAAGCCTCCGACTACAGCTCACCAACGCCAAACGAGGTTCTTCCAACTGATCGAGACAAGTGGGCGACAAAATAAATGCCTTCGACCCAGGGATTATCCGTTCAAACACGTGACGCTTAAGTGTCGATGGCAAGGCTAAGGGACCCAACAAGTTCTTATCATTCGCGGTTGGCCTACAGACAATTCTTCACGCAAAAAAGTCTTCCTTAGACCCGGCCGACGGTGGTGAACTTTATGCAACGGGCCGCTGAAGACGAATACATGGGCAATAACCACTCAGAGCCCTACAGCGGGACGTCCGAGGAGATAGCGGCTAAAGCCCATCTGTACTACTTTCGCCAAGGACGCGTCATTTTTCAATGCTTCTTGGTGTCATCTATAATTTTGGAATCAAACTAATGTCAAGCACCGGACGAGCGCCGCCCCTGCGACAAGACGCGAGAAATACAGCACACGAGTGGTGACTACAAAACGAGACTGTATAAAAAATAGACAAATCTTAAAGTAACGTGCAAACCTGAAATGGCAGGACGCCAACTCATCACCATGCTTCATATTTACTGACACTTTCCAGCGAGCAACACACAACAAATCAGACCGTTTCCTGAAATTCCCGAAAAGCTCAGAACAGACCCAACCAGTCAGCTCACCCGCACAGGTAGTCATCCCACTGTAGCGTGGCGATATTCATCAGCATGGTGCGGGAGGCGTTGGTGACGTCGGTGATGTACAGTCCACCGTTGACGCCACCAGTCAGGTTCTGCCGGCGCAGCGGCGGTTATCACTTGTCCGGTCCACTAGGTCCAGTTCGACAGTCCAGTCGGCGTCCAGTTCAGATAGCTGCTCTCTGACCGTCCCGCACGGGACGTTCCCAGACCAGCCAGTGTCCGGGGTAGAACGTACTCGGACCAGCCAGTGTCCGGCGGGGTGCGCACCCAGACCAGCCAGGTGTCCGGCGGGGTGCGCACCCAGACCATCCAGTGTCCGACAAGGACGTACCCCGAACAGCCATTGTCCGGGAGAGGACGTACCCAGACCAGCCAGATTGCCAGGGGGAGGACGTACCCAGACCAGCCAGATGCCAGGGGAGGACGTACCCAGACCAGCCAGATGCCAGGGGAGGACGTACCCAGACCAGCCAGATGCCAGGGGAGGACGTGCCCAGACCAGCCGGGTGTCCCGGAAAGACCTCACAAGACTAGCTAGTGTCCGGGGAGGACGTACCCAGACTAGCCAGGTATCCACGGTGCCGAACATGAGGGTTCCATCGCGGAGGGCAGCGGCGACCTCGGGCACCGAGTCCAGCAGCCAGCGCAGCTTCAACCGCGCTGAAGTAGGTGCTGATGGGCAGACCGCAGAGCTCTTTCAGGTAGTCCTTGTCCTTCTCAGGGCATCTGCCGACACGAGGACACGCCTACTGAGGAATGGACGTCACGCGTCAGGAGATGTCGAAACACCGACGTCGAATGGGAACTCGTTTTTGCCCCCACGGAGCAGCAAAACAGCGGGAACGCGACCAAGGGCGCAGACACACGCACGCACGCACGCACGCACGCACACACACACACACACACACACACACACACACACACACACACACGCACACGCACACGCACACGCACACGCACACGCACACGCACACGCACACGCACACGCACACGCACACGCACACGCACAACGCACACGCCGACGCAAAATTCACGCCGCTGGCGCTGCCGAGCGCAGCTATTGGATGGAGACTGTGAGGCGGTCGTGTGATTATTGTATTTTAAAAATGCCTCTCTAGAAAGAAAGAGAGCAGATCGACAAAGCATTTCTTGGGAAGCGTGATGTGGTTCACTCATACAACCCATGTACTCTATGCCAGGGAGAAGCAGCAACCCACAAAAGAAATGAATTCTCACAGCTCCACACGAGTCTCTGTCTTGGTATCGACCGCGTCGGATATCAGACCACCAAACCAGGAGCAAAATACACACCCATGCATGCACTAAAACCATATCTTTATCACTATGACCCAACCATCATAATACCAGCCAGCATCCAAACCCATCGAAAAAGAAAAACCACTACCCCCTCTCTATCCACACCAGCTCCTACCACTCCGGACTGGCACATGGCCCACGTAACCCCTGCAGGAACACCACGGCGCGCCGCCGGCCGACCTACTTCTGCAACAGCTTTTGGACCGTATGGGTGGTGCGCGCGTCGAGCCAGACGATGGCGTTGTGGAGCGGCCGGCCGGTGGTGCGGTCCCATACCACTGTCGTCTCTCGCTGGTTCGTGATACCTGGCCATGGACACCACAAACGACGTCACTGGTCGCGACCAGGCAACCGAGCGACGGCGGCGCAGGACATCGGGCTACCACTTTTGGGTCACTGGCATGGTCTGAAGTGACTGTGAGGTGATGATTGGAAAGTGAAGTGACTTCACGCTTGGTATGCCACAAAGGGAGCTTCTTATGAGAGCTTCCATGATCAGCAGCAGGAAACAATCAGACATGCTTTTTCCAAACCTATTGTTGGTAAAAAAGGCAGATCATTTGACATGAGATTGCGAGTGGATCAGCACCACTCTCATCCTTGATTGCCATGAGGTATTCACGATCCCACTGACCGATGGCGGCGATGTCTGCCTCATCCACCTCCAGGGCACGCAGGTTCTCCACTGTCTTCTCGATGCAGACCAATGACGTCTGCAGCAGCTCGCTTGGGTCGGCCTCCACCCAGCCCTCGCGGGGAAAGCTCAGCTTCACTTCCACTTGATGGTATGTCAGCAGCTGGGCAGAGTTGGCCGTGAAGACCTGCCGCAATGAGACGTCCCTGCACTACAAGGCACTGCCAGCTGAATCTATGCCATGATAGAATCTAGCGCCTTAAGTGATATTTTTGCATAGCATTTAAACATTACAATGCTAGGCTCTAGGGTAATTTCCTATGTGCTATTGTGTTGTGCCAAAACAACATATGCTCTGCTGTGCAGAAGACCCATATGTCCTTCCTGTTAACATTACATAAACGCAAATGTGGTTGCTTGAAACACCCTGGACCCATGCACTGTGCAAACAAGCTCTGGTACACTATTGTGTAGCATCTCCTCATTCAATATAAAAAGGTTAAAAAATAGTAATTGGCACTCATCAACAAGGCTAAATCATTAATCATCCATGCTTGTAAAACAAGAATACATTTAGCCCATACATGCAAGCACATTGTGACATAATATCTACCGATCAGCCTATTGTACTTGTTAGCATTGTTTGACACCAATGTCCTTGCTTTGACAATAGCCAATGGTTATGAGTCAATCAATTGCAATTACCTTGTTTTAATGACAAAATGATGACACAATTTGCTGACTGGAGGTCATCACTATTATTGTGTTGCAAAGCCATATTGCTCATGATGTAAAAAGCAGTACATGACTATTATATGTTCATGCCTTGATCACAAAGTCACATCATTTTAATAGCGACAGGATCATCTTACCAGAAATCTCGTACTGCTGGTACCTTGATCGAGAGCCCCCACCAACGGGCCATGCTTTCCTTTCGCCGGCGATGTCATCGCAGGCGCAAGAATCGCTTATATCGACCAAAATACTCTATGGTGTATGCTTAACTTACGCTAAGATTATCCAACGATATGATATTTCGCGAGGACCCGACACCTTTTTAGCCGATCACAGTTCCAACCATTGATAAAAAGTGTATTTTCCCTGCGTCATGTGACTTCGAGGTGGGCGGTTACCTAAAATACACGGCACCAGATATGTCACAAAAACGCTGTTACTGTCGCTTAGAATTCTTGGGTATGACACAAATCTACTGCCAATTCATTCTTTCCTGGTTGACGGACATGGATCGATGTAAGACCCAAATAAGGGGTCCATCCATGATTCCAGCGGAGTTTTCAACACTTGTTACGCAGGGTTTTATATAAGGATTCTAAGTTTTTGTTTGTTTTGCGGTTTTCTTGTCCAACTCGCCTTTTCTTTAACTCTTGGCAGCATTATTCATGCTGGGTACACGGGATATTCCCCATGTGGTTGTTTTCTTCAACTCGATTTTTCAACTCGTAACTAGGAGTAAAGGCTCCTCATTTCTCCGCAATACAGCCATGATCATTCGATGAATTTATCACCGACAGAGAGGGTAGCACGGGATTTCCGGAGTCCAGCTAGCATGAAAGCAATAATCGCCGTGACTAACTTGATAATTTAGATGAAGTTCCTGCATAATATTTTTTTAAAAACGTACCCCTTTATACCATTGTTCAGTGCATAATGCTTTGAATGTGGCTACAAATGCTATTCAGCGGGGTAATGCAGCCACCGCATCGGAATAACCACGCCTAGCATTATGCAAGTATTTGCACACTCGCTGCGTCTTTTCTGTCTGTTTAAGTTGTCTATATTTTGCACTTAGATTCACGTCTATAGCTACCCTAGATGCCGAGACATGGCGCAAAATGTCGAAAACGGTCGGTAACGGCCAAATCCATCTTGTTGGCTCGTGCACGCATGACACGCAGTCGAGTCCCTATCAATGCACGCCACTCCCGAGTGGGTCCGTGCCTTGGGTGCTAAGGTGTGGCACAAAAGGGGCAAATTTGTCAAAAATAGCAACTTCAGTCTTTCCGGAGCGCGTGAGTGTGACACGTCACCCGTGCGTACGAACACTGGAGAACGCACGACTGTCTGTTTCATTCATTATTGCAGCATGCCAGTCCCGTGACGCTACATGCCCTGGGTGCGGAAATGCGCCATGAAACGTAACAACCCGCCGAAATCGGCAATGTGCATATTCACAGCTAGTGTACGCGCGACGCATGACACGTGAGGAATCACATTTTGAGCCACATGATTGCCGCTAATATTGCCTATCGAAGTATGCTACTTTCGAGTCGCTTCGTCGCAAATGTTGTATGCTGCAAAACGAGGGGAAAACCGTCCTAGAGGGGATAATCCATTTTGCTGGCCCGCGCATGTTGACACCTGGCACACGTGATATCATAACTTGCACCGCGTGGTTTTCCATTCGATTCCGTATCAACGCATGCCACTCCCATGTGGGATCATGCTCCGGGTGCAGACATGTGGCGCAAAACATGTAAACCCGTGGAAGAGTGCAACGTCGATCTTGCCAGCTCGTATGTGCCTGGCACGTGGGACTTGTGACCCCACGTTTAGCATACTTTGCGATTGGCCGTTCAATACCATTTTGTAGCATGCCAGTCCCTTGTGGCTACGTACCTTGGGTGCGAAAATCTCGCGTGAAACTTAAAAGCCGAGGAAATCGACAAGCTGTTTCTTCACGGCTAGTGTGCGCGTGACACATAACACGTGCGACATCACATTTTGCGCCGCCGGCCGTTATGACCTCCATGATCCGTGTGCGCTCACACCTAAACCTGAACAATGTGAAAAGAGCGGTTTGTCCGATTTTGTAGGTCTTTCTTGCGCTCTTGACGTATTTTCATCATCGCTGCATCTTCGTTTTTGTCATGCAACTTGCAACCCACATGAAACGATTCGTAGTAAACACATGACGCGACAAGATATCCTACAATTATGTTTCACTCATTCCATCCCCAGCGAGCGCCAAAACAATGCAACATGACGAGTAGCGTGTATTTTTATCAGAACAGCCAACTACCACATCGCAAATCATCTTCTGCCCCTTCCGGCAGCAACAGCCGCAACCAGCACGGCCAGGAACAGCAGCTGAAATTGTCAGGCGTTATAAGCGACCGCGGATTCCTCGGCTGAGAGGAGGAGAAACGTTTGTAACTGGCCGGCATTTCGTCTCGTTTCTCAGCGCCTATAGATGCAAACGTTGCACACATTCCGCTTTTTATGATATGCAACTCTTTTCAAGTGTTCTACACTCAGCATGCAATAACCACCAGCATGACCAAAAACAGCAGCTGGAAATTAGAAGCGTTTTTTAGCGACAGTGGATTGCTCAGCTGAGAGAAGAAACACACGCGAATGGTGCCACGAGTATGCCAATATTATTGCTCCCATTCGTCTACGGAGACCAAGACCCCGGGCGACAGAGACTCGTTTTACTAACCACAAGCTTGAAGTTCATATTTGCTCTCGCGGAAGGAGGGCGACAATGCTAGGAGCAAATTGGTGTGTGTCTGCCACACCGCGGCGGCGGCTTTTATATGGTTCAGCTCTCAGGGCCAGGCCTTCACGAGCATGCGTTATGGACTTCATTGCATGACGCGTCGGGGTTGTGCGTGACTTGGGTACGGAGCGGAAGGTCGGCCCATCAGAAATCATGGGTGTCCGCTGCAGTCGCCAACTGTGTCGAAAGAACAAGGAACAGCATGGAACTATTGGAGAGGAAGGATGCCGAAGATGCTGTTAGCCTTTGCAGCCCCGCGCTGCTGCTGACATCGTGTGTGAGCATCATCTCTTTTGGTCTTTGTCCTTGTTTGTATGCGCAGTAGCGCATACAGGGGTGGACAGGGGCGCGTGCTCTCCCCTAGGTGCTGAGGTGTCCAAGGACCCTTCGGAACCTACGATCAGGAGCTTGATTTGAGGGCCCGAAGGGTCCAAAACCCCGGCCGAAGGTCGTATTCAGGGGCCCAGCCCGCAGGGCCGAGTACTACAATGGCAGCCCTCTACATGCCCCGCGCACTAATCAGGGATTCAATTTAATGATTGCACCTCACCTCAGCTTCTCCACATAAACGTTTTCTAAAAACCTGCGTGAAATGCTTTTTTGCATCGACAAAGAGTCGAGAAAAACTGTATAGCTGAAATGGTGGGAAGGCCCATCTCCCTATGCACGAGCACGAATAACATGCCGTCCTAAGAAAGCCGATGCATGTGGTATGCAAACATGCGGCTAGAATTGGAGTTTCACTATGTCTACCTCAGTTACGTAAATGTGTCGTAACAGCTTCAACGTTCTCAATATGATTCAAGAAAGAAATTTAAGTCCGGGTATAGTGTCAGCTATGCTTAAAGAAAGTCCCTACCTATGGGTGGCATATTAGGAAAAAACATACTCGGATGAAGCCTCAGGATGATTTATGCCTACAATAACACTAGGCAGTGCCACTGCAGTACAATGAAGTAATCATTTTGTAACAACACTGCACTCCTCCTTTTCGTGGTAGCGCCAGAATGTTTCCGGGCTTCATGACAACTGCAATTCTTGCCATTGTCGCGACCGCAGTCGTCATGACGACGGCAGAATCTGCTAAGGACCGTTCGGACCACTGTCAGCTGTTACGGGCTAGAGGCACCAGTTTTAACCTGTTTTAACCAGTTTTAACCTGACTCGCTCATTGCCGGCCTGCGGAACCTGAGGCTGGTGCGCATTCGGCAAGTTCGGCAGGGGGGGGGGGGGGGTAACTCAAGGATTGGGGAAGCGGGTGGAAAGGTAGGAAGAATAAGAGGAGAAAGGAAAAAAGATGGCGTCGTTGACAGGGCAACTCTCAAGCGCGACACTGATACATGTTCCAGTCCACAGAGCCATCTGCACCACCTTGGTTTTGCAGTTTGAAATCGCGCGTATGACTGGCAGGTATCGGACCCTGTCGCGGCCGGCGATTTCAACTGAGTTCCCCGGCACAGGCTTTTAACTGAATTCGAGTTTGTTTCTTGTTCGCGGGTAGGTGCGGGGCGGGCTTTGCAGCCTCCGACGGAGGCAGACGGTGATACTGCGCCGGCAACAGAGAAACTCGGCCGCAAGGTGAGTCTGCGGCGACACAATCCTGTGCAAGCGAGACGATGCTGGCGGTCACGCCCTTTGACAATTGCAATGAACTCTCTTCCCGTTGCAGGAGTAGCATACGCGATCATACATCAACCCTGCACACGATTCATTTACAGGATAGGCATTTAGCCATAGCTCCAAACGCAGTTGTAACTAAAGTCTACTTGGCGTTATTGCATGACTTTGGTCTAGACTGGTCTTGGTAACCGGACGGAATCTTTACATTACGTTTAAACTGTTGTGTAGAGGGCATGCTGCCATCATTATGGACATGATGGCAGCGCCTCGCAAATTGTAAAGTGCATTTGCGAGTAACATTATGCATATAAATAAAACAGTGTTAATAGCTTTTTTCCTAAAAAACACAGAGGAAAATGGAGCGATAAATGTGAGGTTTCAGCTATATGCGTTTATCGAAAAGAATGTCGGTAGCAAATTCAAAGTTGCCCGCCGATTTTTTTCCGATTTTTTTTCTAAGCCGTTGCCCAAGAACAGGTAGCCAGGAGTCCCCCTCCCTCAATCCCAGCGAAGCAGTAAACCGTACGTTAACACCAGAAAACATAAAATCAAGTCGCGGTACTCCCAGCTAAGAAGATGAAACAAACGTAAAAAAGCAGGCGAAGAGGTGGTGCAGACCCGAAGGAATTGTGTTATGTGATAAGTAGGGCAAAATCATAGAAGAGAAGGCTCAAAGTAGTCATTAGCCGAAGTCAGCTAATGACAGCCCGCTATAACCGCTCAATAAGCTACAACCACTCAATTCACCGTGTTAGTAAGGGCTATACAGTCACACTAGTCGGAGGGGACAATTACCTGGTCATTTTTGTGCCGGGTTTTGAGCTGGATGCCCAGGGAATCCACCCAGCGAAGTAGAGCTTGTTGCTGGGAGAACTACCGGAGCCAGCGCCGTGAATTTGGGCATATGTGCATGACTTTATATCAGAAGTTGATTATGAAACATGAAGGAGGTCAAATATGAAGTGCGTTGGATATG